TCAACCCCACCGCAGGGGACCTTTGCAGCGTGCCCTTGGAGGAGAAGCAGCTCCTCTTGGCTTCTGGGCTGATGGTGCCTCTGGAAGAGCAAGCGGGCTCGGCCCCTGCCAGCGCCGAGCCGAGCTGTGGGCGCCTGTGTCAGTGCGTGCTAAGCTGCGATCGCTCTGCTTTTAAGGCATTCCCATTTACTCTGTCAGCTTCCAATTCATGTGCTGGAGCGCATCCCTGGAATGAGCTGACGCAGTTGGTGGCAGTGTCTTTTGCTCTAAGAGAGTCTGGAGGAAAAAAAAAACCCCAAGACTTCATTTACTTTTGAAGCGTAGCTCCCATTATAGCTGCAGCTTATGCTTCCCTGGCTTCACCTCGGCATTTCCTGGGGACAGGTTTCCCTGCACAGGTCGTGGCCACTCCAGGCTCTGCTGCGGTGGCTGGGAGCTGATTCCCATCTCTTCTTTCCACAGGTGGAGAGAGACTTTGAAAGGGAGTATGGAAAGCTTCAGCAGTAAGTATCAACCACACTGGTAAAACAGGAACAGCAGCATACTTCTCTGTTGTGCCTTCTTATTGCGTCTTCCCAGGAAATTTTCGCCAGTTATGCTCTTCCCAGCAAATCACTCACTGCCCTGTAATTTCTAATCCTTCGGAGTTTCTCTGCTGGCTGGGTGTTCAAAGGTGTGCTAAGAAGTATTTGCAGTGGGGTGGAGGTTTGCAGATTATGGCGGCTCTAAAGTAAAGAGTGTAAAATTGCCAGAAAACTGCGGGGTCACCGAGCAGCTCAACGCCTCCGAGGACAAATATTGGCTTTACCATACTGACTGTGTCACAGAAGCTCACACTTATCATCTGGAAGCATTTGGCTTTGCCATTCGTGGTAAGTGTGAGGACTTAAGAAAATATGTGACTTTGAATAAGAGATCACCAACTTGAAAGGGTTGAAAACCCATCTGAAAACAACCAGAAAAGGTTGAGCAGCACTGAACTTCGCAGAGCCTTGCCTGGGTATTTTTAACTCACAACAGAAGCCAGCATATTCAGCCCGTAAATGATTTGTTGCACGTATGATGCACTTCGGCTTGTTTCTTTCCAAGATTCAGACTTTGCCTTGTTCTCCCATCTTTCAGATTGGAAGATCAGACCAAAAAACTTCAGAAGGATATGAAGAAAAGCACAGATGCAGACTTGGGTATGTGACTGTAGGATACATAGACTGTGAACTTGGCCACAAAGAGATGAAGTGACTTTCTCAAGATCACATGAGTAATCTGTGACAAGTCTGGAAAACAAATCTAGATCTCAGTCCCACTCAGCTTGCTTAGTTACAAGGCCATCTGCACGAGGGCTGGCGAGCAGTAGCTCAGCCGAGGGAACAGAAAGGATGTTACGGGCTTAGTCCCTGTCTCTTGAGCTGCGAATTGCTGCGTGGCCTTGGACAAGTCACTTTCTTTTCTTTGCCTCAGTTTCTGCAACCAAAAAACAGGAGTAATTACTCCCGTTCTCAGGCTAGACAGGCAGGAGCAGTCTCCAGCTGAGCCCGTTGTGCCGAGCAGTGCATATTCACCTACTGTGGCTGAGGGCATCTAATGCTGTCTGAAGCTGAGGGAGGGTGGGACGAGGCCTCGGGGGTCCGCAGAGCACCGCGCAGGCACCACTGGGCGTGCTTCACGCAGGAACTGCTGGCCCAGCAGCTCTCATTCAGGAATTACCCTGCTCGTTCCCTCGGTGGCTGCCGGCTGTGGCTTGGCCTCGTGGCAGTGGGCGATGTAGGGAGCAATAAAGTCATCTCTGCGTGGCCGGCCGCAGCTGCCCGCGCCGGGGGGCATCTGCCCTTCAGGAGCCCCCTCCCCGGGCACGGCAGGCCAGCGCCGCGGCAGCGGGAG